CTGAAGGTAGGCCTTCAATTACATCCACAGCTGCACCTCCTATTGACTCAAATGATGTCAGTTAGCCAATCAGATTCTTCTAAAGCCATGACATCATTTTCTGGAATTTTACAAGTTGTTTAAAGGCACAGTCAACTGAGCGTATGTAAACTTCTGACCTACTGGAATTGTGATATAGTGAATTATAAGTGAAGTAAATTGTTCTGTAAACAATTGCTGGAAATATTACTTGTGTCATGCATAAAGTACATGTCTTAACCAACTTGTCAAAATGAAAATTTGTTAACATGACATCTGTGGAGTTGTTTAAAAAAATCAGTTTTAATGACTTCAGCCTAAGTGTATGTAAACTTCTGACTTCAACTGTACATCTTCTCTCTCTGTTTCTTTTCTTTGAGTCTCTTGTGATTTAGGCCGGTAAATAAACCCCACCAGGCCAGCCCTCTGTCCTCTGCTAGTCACTGTTATTGTTGCTGGAGCACAGGCCACGGTGTTTGGCTGCTCCAGCTGAGAAGAGAGCACCTACAGGGCTTTTCCCATGATGATGAGAACTGCTCTGCTCAGTCCAGTGAACAGGCAATGGATAAAGGCCTCGAGCTGCTCCCACCTCCGCTCCCACCCCCTTCCCAAAGGCATCTTGAACCTCCCCCTCTTCCCTCCCTCCTCCTTTAAGTTCCCTCAAGTCATGATCTGGCCCGTAAATTAGTATTGGGAGAAAAATAGGTTCTGTAAGATGAAACTAGGTTTCTGTGTGTATCAGCACACGACTCAGGGGAGACAAGAGAGAAAAAGCAGGCAGTAAATCCATTGGAGTCCACTGATAGCGCCTGTTTGCACAGCCACTGCCGCTTCCTTTGATCAAATGGCTGGGGGAGCGGGGGGTCGTGTGGCGCTGCCGAAGGTCAGCTATATATTACACTCCTAAAAGTGATTACTGAAATTCTTAAGTGAAACCATTCTGCTGCCAGGGTGTGCTCTAATCCCCTGCAGCGTTGTCTGGGCCTGGGGCTGGGACTGGGGCCTCTCTGTGGATGTGTGTGCCTAGCACTCCTTTTCCCTTTCCCCACTTGTGTTTTCTATCATCAGACCAGGCATAAAAAGAGACCCTAGATAGAAACATGGCCTATCCAGTTGCAGTATCAGCTGCTGGGGCTCAGAGCAGCGAGAGAGAGCAGTAGAGGAAAGGTAGTGTCAGGAAACAAAATATGCACATGCTTCAAAGGCTAGGGCAGCAAATTAAGGGTTAGACATTGGACATGACAGTAAGTGGCCTTTACATTAGGAACAGGGTAAACAATGTCTGGATTAGGTTTTGCTTCTTTTTTCTGCGTTTTTCCCCGGCTCTTCATCTACTCACTGACTGTGCAGTAGGTAGAGCACTAAAACAACTCAGTGAAGTTTTCTTTTTAACACTGAACAAATAATTTTCGTTATTCCACCTTGTAAATGAATGGAAAATCTGACATAGAAGGAATGAGCATGCCACAAGGACTCTGTTCAAATTCCACAGTTTATGGTAGCTAATCCTTGTTACAATGTTACACTGTATCAAATCAATTACAGCAACTTATAAAACAGAATGTGCTGCTTTTACGGGTGATACAAAGAAGCTACTGGAGCAAAAACTGTATGTGTGTGTGACTACCTGGTTTCTACTGCAGCGGCATCACTCTTGAGATCCAGCCTGCCAACATGATCTAAACAAGCATTACATGAAGTCATGCACTATGAAACTTTATACACCTTTGCTGATCATTACCTAAGATTGCTTTGTGTTACCTTTGGCAGACCTGCCCTTGGCTCTCAGATTTAAAAAAAAAAAAAAAGATGTATTTCCTCTTATTTATTATTTGCACTGCGGTACTGAGAGAAGAGTGTCCAAGTGGTAGGCCTGCAACCAGTGCGGTGATGCCAGAAATAACAGAATGAAACTTGCTCCTCAGATTCATTAGTGTGTAGAAAACATTTCCCGGGGGGCAAAACAGAGCACAAAGACTCTTATAAGTCTTTACACTGCAGGATGTTATGTGCCAACTTTGACCTTTTTCAGTTTTTTCCCTCAAAATGAGAATGCAAACAACATAGATGGCTGCAAGTGTGTGGGCTTCAAAAGAGCTGCAACCCCATTTTGCATATCTTATAAAATCTAGAGAGAGAATTCAAAGAGAAGTTTACCGAGCATGGCATTCACACATGTTGACAGTAAAGAGGGCCAACTGTACACCGGGTCTTGGGAATTTGTAGTAGGACATGGCTCCTCCTTTTATTTTTGCTTTGAAACACCATCTTTGCCCTTTCAATTTCCGGGAAATTACAGTATCTGACATGGAGAGCGTTATCTAAGGTATATCACCAGGGCTTATCCTATCTCCTGGAGCAGGTGCACTATAATCCCAAATAAAGCAATGTCCTTTAACATCATTGTTCCCAACATTTGTTTATAATATGAACACATTTTTGCAATCTGTTTCCACCCTGTGCTGCTTTCTCTTCAGTTGTCTGTAGAGTCAGAGAAGTGTTTATGGTCTTTGGATGTTGCCAATTTCACTAGAGAGAGGACCACGTGGCACCTATGGAACTCAGCAGCAGGACCAGACTTTTGAAGCCTTTGCCTATTGACACAGCTGCTACCATGCCCTAATGATTCGATTCCAGGGGTGGTGAACATATCTCTGCACACTTACCCACACACAACACCACATGGAGATGCACATGTTTGTCTTTTCCTTCTAAATGTCATCAAGTGCTGCTCAGACACAGCTGGATATTGACTTTGGTGTAGTAAGTTTCTCCTGGCCCTGAGTTACACTGGTTCATTCACAGGCTGCCTCGCAGGATCCTACAACATATGCCCATGTTCGGAGGCTGCTGTGGTCTACAAAACAGGCATTTTAGGTTAATTTAAACCTCTCCACATCACATCCATGTTGGACAACTCCAAACTAATAAATAGGACAAGTGGGAATTTTAAATGCTTTCACTTTACTTGTGTAGCTCTTACTTTTCAGGTTTTTATATGATGTGCAGAGCAGAGTCATCTGGTTACTGTCAGCTCCTCGGCACAGCTGTGCAGGTACAGAGTGATGGAGAAAATCTGTAACAGAAAAAGTAAATAAAAATCTGTATGATAATAAACTGCATCACTGGTAATTCTATCCAGTGCCACAGAAAAAGTAAATAAAAAATCTGTAACAGAAAAAGTAAATAAAAATCTGTATGATAATAAACTGCATCACTGGTAATTCTATCCAGTGCCAGTGTGCTACAACGCTTAGAGTCCCCTTACTGTACACGCAGGGGTGCAGGGAAATATGCTGATAACATGCGGATTGATGTACTATAGGTTATTAAAGAAGTGTGTGCGTAGGACTGAATGGGAGTGTTACATCTGGCCCCGTATACCAGCATGCTGTTACCTGGGCTGATGTCACAGCAGGTTCTTCAGCTAAGAAAACACACTGTCTTTGGAGGGTGAGCAAAGCAAACTCACTCAGACCCCACTAATGTGCTGCTGGTGTGGAGGTGTGACTTGTTTTAGGTTCACGGCTTCTCCAAATGTAATCCATAACCAATTAGGCATTGTGCAGAAACCTTTCAACAAATCAAAATTACGTGGTTTAGCATGTGGATGAAAAACAGGAAACAAAGAATAATTCAGGACCAAATATTTCTGTAATACCAACTGATAGCTTTATTGGTTGTAGGAGAACATGAAAACAAAAAAACATACAAGGTCAGAATACCAGAGCATTGCAGAGAGCTGATGATGTAGGATTTTCAGACTCACCCTACCAACGCTCTCATTCAGACACTTGTGTGCACTAAGCAATTGGTGCCCTGGTGCATCCACGTCTCTGAAGAGGGTCACTCATGTTTACTTTTTCATGATCTCCTTCTTGTCAGTCCCACCTCTTCCCTTGACTGGGAACATTTTGTTATTCTCGGAAATAAAGGCATCACCAGGCTTGTCATTACAGGATCATGGTTCACGTTTAATCAAAGACCATGCTGACTCACTGTTCCAGCTGGGTGTGATTCATGTTAACAGTTCCTCCTGTCAGTTATGTTAGACTGTTCTCTCATTTGTCACATTTTCATTTCAATTCCCTCTTTAAAGGACCAGGTGTCAAGCTGCCTGCTGAGGAATGACATGCTACACATACAGCTGGATCCTCACATCGATGAGTAGTACAACAGAAAAGCAACTGGACCTTTTACTTTAGCAACATGCCCCAGGATAACATATTATTTTATGTCATTATATTCTGAATTGCATAACTGTCAGCAGTTTATAAGGATGTCATGAAAGGGAACAGAACAAGTTATTTTTACACCTTTTGCAAGTAAACATAATTTAGTCTAAAGTAAATACAATTTCTCACCCTTTATAGACAGATAACAACTAATGCTTTACTTATGGAATCAGTTGTAACATCACCTTTAAAGCTGAAATGAACTTCTGGCATTTTCAAATGCCATTCATGTGCTGTGTGAGTAGACAGAGGCAAGCAGTGGTAGAATGTACATTTACTCATGTACTGTACTTTAGTACAATATGAAGCTACTTTTACTTGAGTGTTTCCGCTTTGCTATTTAAACTTAGCAATGTTTCAAATATTGCACTTTTATTAGACAGATACGTTAGTTACCTTACAAAATATATGATGGGCTTTTTGAAAACAATTCTAAATACAAGTACACAGTTTTATATTACAATATTGTACCAAAGAATTCTTCTTACACATTATTAGATGAGGTCAAATCCAGTGATATTCTACGGTACTCACAAGGACCATTTTTTTGGCATTGAGTATTTTGAATAGTTTAACAGTAAGTATATTTTGTAGGCAAGACAATACATGATATTGGGTTCATGGGAATGAGAAGATATTTTAACAGGATTATAAAGAAGCCTTCAGGGATGAAGTATATGACTGGAAAAATTGTCTTTCATTTGACTGAAAGTCACAAAATGTGTAACAATGCAGGTGCACTTTGAAATGTTTGAACTAATCATCTTGTAATGTCACTTCAGTTCTACTTTCTGAGTATGAATTATCATATGCAGTAAAAGATATGCAGACACTCTAAAAGGCTTTGCCACAAACTCACCTGGCTGGCTTCTCTCCTGTATGAGTCACATGAGTCTCTTCAGACCTTATAACTGTACATGGACTATGCACAAGCTTCTAACTTCAAACTGAAGCTGTGTGTGGCCTTCTAACTGAACTCCTTTCCACAATCTCAACATAAAAAAGTGGCAGGGGCATCTCCTATGCTAATTTCACCCTTACACTCTGTCATGCCGGGTGCTGCTCTGATTCTGTTTTGTCCTGATGTCACGAGACAGCTTTTCACCTTGATGTCAAATATTGTCATGTTTTAATATCACGAGATCTCGTCACACCCTTAGTCTTGTGCTAGTAATATTTGGGACTTTTTGTTATTTCATATTTTTAATGCAGGAGTTTTACTTCTAATGGAGTATTTTCAGTATTTTTGCTTTTGCTACTCTAGTAAAGGATTGGAGTACTTCATCCAGCACTGGAGACCAGATGTATTGGACACTTTTTAAAGTCAGTGACATTAACATTTTAAATATTAACTTCAAGATTAGCATCTGTTAGCAACATACAATGTATACAAGAACCATGTAATGTGCACATAATAAAATCACCATTAAAAAAGACTCTTTTAATCAGGAGAAACTCTGAACAACAAAAGCTTCTATTCACACACATTACAGTACTCCACTGTAAACGCATATAGTAAATGATAGATAACAGTATTCCCATGTACTGGTAGGATCCAGCATGGCATCCTGACATGATTATACAAATATGGATTTGGAAATAATTTTGTCAACTGAAATCCAATAAATCAAAAACTTTATTTCTCATTCACAAAGACCAACTAAATGTGCAAGGTATGTGCATTTATAAATATGTGATTGCTGCAGTCACAGATTCCTAAAAATACATTATCAAATGGCCAAGTGTGTGTCAGTACTGTTTGTCACAGAAAATTAAAGATATTGAAAAAAAAACATTTTTTTAATTTCAAATAAGCATAAATCAGTTAAATGAAATGTTTTATATAGTGTTAGTATAGGCAAGTGGTCTAATGAAATGGTAATAAAACAGTGAAAGTATAAACAATTATGTAGCGTGCTGAGCTAAAAACGCTCTTATCCTATGTAGAAGCTCCTTCTTCACGCTGTCTGGCACCAAGGCTGCAAGAGCAAAAGGTATCCATGATTATACTATTTTACACAGCAACAGTGCAATGCATGAGAATCTGCAAATCTCTTCATCTCAGCTGATGATCACATCTTTTACTTTAAACATAACATCTTGTGTCAGCACCACCTCCTACTGAAGTGGAGTACATGGCATCTCTGTCTCTTCTATGGCTGATGCAAAACAGTAACTCTGGAGCAAGGCTCTACCTATCTTTGAGTATACACATACTATATATGTGTGTAACTGACAAATATTTTAGAGTGGATATTTCCTTTATAATTTGATGTGGGTGGCAGAAAAAAAGAGTAAGGACAGGGAAACTCTGAGCCAGGGAAGTTGCAAAAGTCAGATGAGTGACCGTTTCATGTACAAGCCTACTGTCATACCATCAGTTTCTGAAAATTCAAGATCTCGTACCTCTTCCTTTAGGAGTGATCTCTACCACCAGGTCCTCCACAGTGACATGCTCCAAGCCCTTTTCTTTGATTACTTCTGCAATAATATATAGATTATATTTTTACAATATTCAAAAATTACTGCATGGCCAATTGGGCCAAGAGCAAAAGACAAACAGAACACAGCAAATAAACTTGCTCTATGTCAGCTCTGTCTGCTACTAATGAATTACTGCCACTTAAGTTATCCAAATAAGACTGAAATATGACCACAAATTTGCTCCAAACATCTTGTGCACCACAATAAAAGTTTCATAGCAGTTCACATAGCAACACTGTTAGAGCTCTGGATACTTTATGACAATCTGGAAGATGTGTTTTGGTCACTGCAGGTCCAAAACAAAGTCAGGATGTTCACATCAGTCACAGTATTCAAAATATCATCGGTGAGATGCATGTGCAGTCATGAGGTAGAACACAACCCCAAAGGACTGAGAGGAATAAGAGGACATCAACATGAAAAGTTGGTTTTGTGTCTAAAACTGTACTAATTGTAAAAGTAATCAGTGTAAAATGTTCATTATGCCAAGAAAAAAAAAGCCTTGCCTGTGCACAATTAACTGTTAATTTCAGAGATCTTGTCAGAAATCCTGGGTTGACACAGTCTGTCTGGTATTAAAGTCCTGTTTACATCATAGCTGCCTCTAATATATATATAATGTAACACATTCTAACACATCTTGGACAGAGTCACCTTTCTGAGGAACCATTGAGGTCTTTCATGTTATTCTTTAGTCCTGTGCTTTACTGGGCTCCATCAGATGAGTTCTAGGCTATACCATTATGGAGCTGGAGGATGAGAAGCTGCTTTGCTAATGTTTCAATTTAGGACAATTTCCATGTACACGAAAAGAAAATTCCAATACTACAACAACTCAGGGAGCACAGGTTTTGCTGACCTTCAGTGTGCTACTGGCACAGTAACACTGAATCACTGAGTACTTGCTGTGTGTTTTAACAGCAGTATTGTAATTTCTACCTTTGCAGTGAGCCTTCATCTGGTCCTTCCATCCACATTCAGTGAGCTTAGACCTCAGTAACTCCTTCAGCCTGTCAATAAGATGCAAACACACATGAGAATTTAGTGGGCCACACAGGCCCTCAACAAATTAGGGTTTTTTTTTTCAACTAATTAATCCCTGTCTTGATTGCAGCATCACTAGTTACCCTGGTATGTTGAAACTATCAGCACATACACTATCCAGAGCTGGCAGAATGACGCTACTGTACTTTGCATGCTGAGAAATGTCAAAGCACAGTTCAAGATGTCTTCCGTGAAAATTGGAGCAGCATCTTCAGTGCAATATGAAAACCATGTGGCAAATTGGCCCCTGCCTTCTGATAAGTAAGTTATTATTATCACAACTGGGCATGTCTTTCACTTATTTCACTTGAAACATCTATTTTTACAATGGTCCTGCAAGTATCATTCTCTGTGTTGCGGTGACGCAGACTGACGCTCCAAAAACGGCTTTAAAAAAATGTTAATTAGCATAGCAACTACCTTACTTCTTAAACCAAACTATTTGTGATATCAGGTCTCACCTCTCTCGCTCGCCCATCTCTGTCAGCTTCTGGTTTATTGTTGCCCTCATTCTGGACTCTTTACTCATGTTCTTTTACCAGGCTGTCTGTGGCGTACAACAAAAAAGTTAACCCGTGATACCGTTAATCGACACTAACACACCAGACATATTTGGGACAAACATCACAAAATCCGACAGTCGCTAAAGACTCCACGTTTAATTTACCTTTTCAGGCAGTTATGTTTCAGAATTATAGTTGGTATGTCGGTTAAAAAAAAGGTCGTTATTTTGATTGTGCGGATTTTACCCTCAGAAGTTACATTCCGACAAGGAACACTGACTTGGAGAATGGTTCCCAGGCCTTCAGTGATTGCAATACTCAATTACACCACACGATGGCGATGTTTGTTAATAAATATAATCAAAGTCAGCTGAACCTGTGCCGCAGACTGACCTATAGTCTCCCTTTAGGTTTACATTAGTTTTCCAAAATCCCCCTTTTCACACTAACACATCAGCTCCTGCTGGCAGCTTCTGCTTCTTACGGATGTGTTAAGTAGGGTACTTTTTATTCAAGAAACAAGTAATAACTGGGTCTGCCACAAGCCCCTGGTGTGTTTAAGCTGAATCCATAGGTGGGATTGTAAACAGGCATGTAGGCTTATTGCTAATACTGTAGTCACTGGTTCATCGTTGGGGACCTGCATTAGCTCAGCCAAGTAGGTGGCCCCTCTTTTTTGTAGAGCACACTAAAATGATTAAAATGTTGAATGACATGTTTTCTGACTAAATGTGGGATTGATTCAGTTTTTAAAAATTTTCAAGACATGAACTTAAAAACATTTTCAGTTTAGCTAGCTAATGTAGTTTGCATTGGGACTGCAGCTGATTGTTGGATAGTGCACAGTAGTGTACTAATGATGTGACTGAAGCAAACACAGTCAGCATCTATCCATCCATTATCTATACTGCTTATCTCGAAGAGGGTCACGGGGGGCTGGAGCCAATCCCAGCTAACACTGGGCAAGAGGCGGAGTACAACCTGGACAGGCTGCCAGTCTATCACAGGGTTGACACTTAGAGAGCGACAGCCACACACACACCTAGGGGAAACTTAGAGTCACCAGTCAACCTAAACTGCATGTCTTTGGACTGTGGGAGGAAGCTGGAGTACCAAGAGGGAACCTTCCTGAAGTCCACTGTCATCTCCATGGCTTTGAACATGTTCAGCTCCAGGTTGTTGCGGCTACACCACAGGACCAGCTGCTCAACCTCCTGTCTGTAGGCTGACTCGTCATTGTCTCGG